GCATAGAGATACAGATGGCGGTGACTGTGATGCCTAACCGAGTCGAATGTGCGCACCCTTCGAATATCTATCCATCCGTCTGTCAAAAAGACAGATAAGGCAAGATAATAAACAGTCAGGCATGACCAATAAGTAAATTTCTGCAAATTATTAAATTTTCTTTTTGATTCATAAATTGTTAACTTATTTACTGACTAATTATGCATTTGTAACAACGCCTGGCGAACTGATAGTAACCAACAGTACTGCTGAGATATTAAATGTCACCGAATCTTACTCTGACTTCTGTCTTTCATTTTCTTTTTTGTGCACAAGCAGACATAGAGAAACTGGGTATGAATATATATTTTGTTAGTCATTTGGAAAGACATTCAGTAAGCTGATGTTTCCTTGTCGGTTATGGGATTGTAAATATGCTCATTAATTAAATGCTTCAATTAAACCTTAAGAACTTTTTAACTTGCTAAGTTGACTTCTTATTTTCTTGTATAAGATGTCCACAAAGCTGGAAATCCTCTCTTCCCTTCACTTCCAAGAAACCAGCGATGTGTATTATTGTTCTGCATGTAGCCGGCTGCATTAGTACAACTAATTAGGAACACCTACATTCCTTCCAAATAAAATATCTTCCAGTAGTGTTCTTTGAGAATGGTAGCTACTGACAGAACAACTACTACAAGTAATGTAATATTCGAAGAATATCTCGGTTTACTCTGAAGCTAAAGCTGAACATAAGAAGACGCGACACCAAACCACGAAGTCTCTGACTGTTATTCTGAGCAGTGTTCGGAGCTATAGACTGTCTCTTGCAGGTATTCAGGTTATCAGTGGTAGGAAATTCTTACTGGTGTGGTTGGCAACAAATGATAATGATGCAGATTCCAATTTCGAATATTTTACGAAACCTCTTCTAAGCATTCACCTTCTCTACATGCCATTTTCGACGCTGTCGATATAATTCTATTTTTGTCCACAACTTCTGCGTATTATATTGTGAAAATGACAAAAAATTGCAATAATGCACACAAAGTTCCAACTTCAGCTATCTATCGGCTCATTCTAAATTACCCTTTGAAAAGTAGTGGATATGACGAAGGCCAGTTTTAGACCTACATAAAGCTTCTGTTCAGCCTATATCTAAAATCAACTGCCAACAGAAATTCCTGGTCATTTTGTTATTTGTTAGATGATGAATCTGACGTTTCGCATGTCGATGGATGCATCTGACTGTATCACAACTTTATTAAAAAGCTAGCATGGTATATGGTGCTGCTGAAGAATCATAGAACTGGATTATCTGCCTACTTTTTACCTCTCAGTGGTGACTTATAATTAAAAAAACCTCTTGGATAGCAGCAAGTTTTAGTGGGGCCCTGCATCAGTAACCTGCAGACTGTTAGTTCCATTTATACCCCCATGTTGGTAGTTGTTTCGACTTGAATCATAACCGCCTAAATTTGCACGGAAATAGGACTCTCTTGGTTAAAATAACAATCACTCATAATTAGTTTGACTACCTGAGATGGCCGCGGTCTGGCAGAATTATTCTTTTCGACAATGGGTGGCAAATGAAGGTGAAATGAAAATCTGCCCCGCTTCAGGGTTCGAACCAACGACTTCATTAGTTTTCCCCTTCCAGTTCAAGATTACTTGGATTAGAGTGAGAAGACCTAGTTGTCCAGCCGCTTTCGTGATATTCAGTGGACAGTTTTGGGTCACTCATTTACACACCAAAGTAGCAAAACTCGATGAGCGAGGTAAGTATGAAACCCATCAGGTGGCCAGATTTCGTAGGTTGGTCATTAAAGTTCCAGACCCTTAACAGTCCTTTGACTCTGATGTTCGTTTTATCTTCCACCGTCACCTTCAGATATTAAAAGCCATATGCTGAAAAAACAGCGTTTCAGATAACTAATTTCGTTGACAAAAACGGTCAAAATGTTCACATAAATAAGTTTTTAGAATTCGCATTAAGATCTTTCATTCAGTGCTCTTTGAATTTTGGTTACAGGGAGGAATTCACGTATCACGTTACACCAGTAACAGGGTGAATATTTTCACTGAAAACTAATCGATGTTGATTACTACACCATGGAACAGGTTTGTTGTCATATTTTGGGTTTTTATAAACTTTTAAAATTACTATTTAGAGTTCTACATTGACGACTGGAACGTAATTTAAAAGTCTTCACTTATTGAAGGCTACCAACTGATTGAGTATTTCATATCATTCTTACTCGCTAGTAAACATGTTTCCTGAACATTATAGATAATATTTGTTAAGGGTTGGCTGAAAGTACGAAATTTAAGTCTGCGGACCCCAGCCGAGACTAATTGTGAGTTTTCGGTGGATTTTAAGAATGACGTAATAATGAGGAGGAAGAAAGCTAAGAAGATAGGTAATATGAGATTACGACAGGAGACGTGTATAACAACCGCTTTTGTCATGTGTAGCAAGTGTACATGTAAACTACGCTGAAGACTGGATGGTATGTGGTGAATAACTATATAAGCCCGGGTTCCATTCACCTCATTACCAGTACCCGTCAAATGTTCACGCACTGAGTTTCTCACTGTCTTTGTCAGTCTTTTACCAATCACATTGGCTTGTGCTTAAGTAATGTACTATAAACTCACCTAAATTTAAGCTGTATTAACTAGCTCCACAAAAGCAGGTAAAATAAATGCACGTGGAATAAGCAGAGGCAGCAAATCAGTCTTGACACCCTGAAATTATGACTGACGGACCATAGAAGAGCGGACATAACACTGCAGTGCTGGATGTTTTTGGGAGCTCTTCTCTAATACTGAGTCGCAATTTCGCTGATGATATCTACTTTGAGTTCAGGTTTTCCAGAATATAAGTTTCTTAGGGACTGTTGTTTCCTTCATGTACTTGGTTATGAGTTCGGCAAGAAATCCGTTCCACTAAGCTGGCTACTTATAATGTCAGTTTCCTTTTCTGCAGTGTTGTCAATGCGAATAACTTTTGCATTTCAACAGGTTTCGTTTCTATCTCAGGGAGTACATAGCTATAAAAGTGAGTGTACTGGATAGTTAGTGTTGGCTTTTCTTGTATACTCTGTTTCGTCGTTCCATCTAACCTTCTTAATCTATAAAAGAAATGCAGCTATTTCATTCTGCTTCTGCTGTGAAGGCAATCACCAGATGACAGCTATTAAATTCATCAAGAATAGCATTCTTATTAGCCGTACCATTTATGTAACAGCCATAAATTCCAGCTGACTAACTGCTTCTTCAAGAGGACTATTTCTTAGTTTGGCCAGGAAAAAAACCCGCCATTATCGTGACTGGCAGTGACTACATGACCACATCATTCCACTGTCTATAGGACTTGTTGTTAAAGAGAAGGTATGCATTCAGTGTACATCGAAGCATCTGTAAACAGTCTTACTTCATAAAGTAAATTAAACTAAGAAATCGAAGTGAGAGGTTAACTTACAATGATTGGCTAGACGATGAAAGAAGCTGTACAAAATCCCTCTGAATATAAATACTTCTTTCACAACCATGTTTAACATGAACATCTGTCATGTACCGCGGACAAATACGCTTGTATTCATTTTATGAACAGAATTCACTGAATGAGAAAACACTCCTTCTAACCATCTTGTAATAATCACCTACCAAAAGAGTAACTATCATGAAGAAGACAAAATATTACTGATTGAAAAGAGTGAAACGCAATGAATCATTCCACAGGGATTCAAAAACAAAACTTAAATGAAGCATCTTGAACGACTTCATTAATTCTACCATTCCCCCAAGGTATAACTGAAGAGCAACAAATGATTTGCAGGAAATATCGAATTAGCGTCTTCTACAAAGCAACCAACAGTCTCAGGAATACTTTAGTTCACTTAAAAGATAAAATTCCATTTACCTTACACAGACTAGGCTGTATCGACTGTGATGCTCATTATATGGTGGAATCATCCTGCTTAATCCTCATTCACGTGCATTAAAGAAAAGGATCTCTAAATGTTTATGAATAACTGGTAAACCCACAAACTAGATCTATGACTGACGTAGCCACAAAACTATAAGTAAAGACGCATAACTGAGACATTTCATATCATAGTGAATCCTAGTGCACTCAGCAGAAAGGAAGGCTTAACTATCCAACCAATTTGGACGCCATATCCCAAATAAAATGGCAAATTGACCGTCTTATTTAAGGTATACCGGTTCATCTAAGCCAGGTAATAACCAGATTCAGTTAGTCTCAACAATTCGCTTCTGTCAGCTGAAATTGTCTGAGCACCCAAATGGGTAAAATGGCCGTCCTGTGTGTATATAACTTTCATACGGCTAGCGAAATATACAGATCAGTAGCTCAAGTTGTTTCTAACTGCCCATGTTTTCCAGTAGTATATTCATTTTTGAAGGGTTTTTATAAACAACTAAGGTATTAGTTCTGAAAACCTGCAGGAATTTAGCAAACCAACAATTATGTTAGCAGTAGAGATATGGTCTAAGTACCACTTAGGCAGTACTAACTAACACATGAATAGATGGGAAGTGAAGAATCATACAGCGTAGGTTCTAAAGATTAGTCAGAAAGTGTTTCTCATTAAAAAAACTATTTTGTAACCTCTCGACCTCTGTGACCTCTTCAAACAGAAATAGAGCAAACTTTTTCCAGTTCATTTGTTATTTTAACTAGCTATCTTACATCTATGTTATGCTTTATATTCATACAAATACCTTGTGAATAAAAGTTCATTCACTATGATCCTTTCAAGTTCATATTCAAGACAATTAGTCCATAAAATATAGCTGGCATCCATCTCCTAGTCCTCTTGATCTGCTCGCTTTTGAACGCATGCCAGCTCACGGGTAAAGTAGAACATGATGGACACTTGTCTTTCTTCGCATGCTTTAAAGCGATGAACAAGTAATCCAACTAAGTAATTGTGTTTATCTATTACATAAGGACATTTGAATGTAGCATTTTATTGATTTTATTTGGTATACATGCAGAATTTAGTTTATATAATTCATTGGTAATACTACTAATAGTAATAATACTGCTTTCAAGGAAGTTTAAATTACTGCCAATACTTATCGTTAAAACAACAGATATCGTAAAACATCTCTAAAGAAAACAACATGCAAAGTAGTTATGATTCAAACAACGAAGAATGCGGTTGGCCAAGTAAAACTCAACTCAATATATCTCGTAATCAAAATTCAGATAATATGAAAAATGCATTAGAATATTGTAATGATTATACATATTCTAACCGGGTTAAATGTCCAACATGCGATTGTGGATGCCTTCACTATGAAACAAATGCAATCGGCAACGATAGTATTTGTAGCACTATTAGTAGTAAATTCCAAGAACAAGTAGACGCTTATCGTGGTTACATGGAATTATTTCAGCAACAGTGTTTATGCGAAGTAACACAGATGAGTAGGATTGCACCAATTCTACCACATTATTCAATACAACAAACAGTGGATCCAGCTATAACATGCCAGCCAGTTTGTTTTTCAGACCTACTCTCGTATCAATCAATGTGTGATTGTCATCAACAATTACAAAAACCGTTAATTTGTGGAAGCTGTTCAAATACTAGATTACCATGTCAAAATCCGTTTCAGTCAAGAATGATTATGTCACCGTTGGCACCAAGTGGGGCAGTAGCAACGTGTTGTAATGGATGCTCATGTGCTCATCTGCCATCTCATATGTATTGTACACATTCTTCACCGAAGTGATATGATAATACCTTTCAGAATTATGTTGCGTAATCTATTGATTCATTTCTTTGTATGTACATACGCCTTTTGAAGAGGTACATTTAACTCTTTGCGACAAATTTTATTTAATTTTTCATTGATTTCCTGATAATTTGCAATATATTCTTTCTTTTATTGCTCACCACTTATCTCTTTATGTTTCTGATGCTTAATATGAGTTGTCATCATCGAGTTATGTTTCAGTAGATTTGCATGACTGGCATCAGATATTGTTGCTGAAGGTGGGAGGCAGAAGACGATTACACATGACCAACCATAGACATTTATCCTCGAAACATTGTTTATCTTTTGTTAAACTGCCAAGTAAGGAGCGCCGGCATGAAACTCAGCGTTCTAAGCCCGTCTTTGTCTAGTGCCTACTGAGATGCACCAGGATGACCTATGTGAAAGTGTTAAAGGTAATCAGATATATATATATATATATATATATATATATATATATATATGTGACTGTTAATGTTCTTAACTTGTTGAGAAGTGTTATCAATGTTAACAAAACTTTGAAACATGTTTTTTAAGCAGAAAGAGGAGTTTTATCAGTTCACTCTTCTAAAGAACAAGAAAAATATGTGCAGAAGAAACTATCAACAATAAACTGAAAAACCTTCAAGAAGTCCTGATGGAAAATGAATACCCACTGAAGTTTACTGATAAGGACATAAAACCAAAAGATATCAGGGGACGTGTACTCATTGCATTGTAAAGGATTTTACTGTTGGACCTTGAATTCAAGGGGAATAATATGACAGATTACGTTAGCACATGACTCTCATGGTCTATAATCAAGACACTTTTTTGCTACCAATCTGAAAATAAAATTATTTTTTCAGGAATCCATTTGTCAGTATGCGAAGGATAAGTCTGGTCACCTTGAACCCTCCCCGTAAACCTGTACATCCAGGCAAATAGTGGCCCACATGTCCAAACCATCTCAGTTGATGAAGGTTCACAACCCTATCAATCAAACTGCCTTTCTTGCCTAGTACCTTTCACCTGATCTCAACACTGCTCATACAGTGATTCCACCAAACACGGGCAATGAGATGAAGACACCTACGATCGAAACCCTATAACCGCCTCATGTCGTTTAATTTCCATAACCACGTTTCAAAACCGTATAACATGACAGAATGGAATGCAGCACAGTATAGTCGTCTCTTTATAGGTAGTCGGATATCTGGCCAATCGACGTTGGAGATGAAGCAAGTTGGCAAATGGCGAACTGGCCTTCTGTATGCAAAATGGGATTTCGTCAGCAACCAACCTGTACGATCTTATGCATCTCCCTAAGTAATTAAGGCATTTAACTCAATCCACTTCACTCCTTATTCTAAACTAGGGCTAGTTGCAGATCAGTCTCAGAGCATTACCTAACATTTGACAGATGAAATAGCTACATATATTAATTGAAAAAGTATTGAGTTGAGAAGCCATGATATATGGGCTGGGCCGGGTTAAGAACGAAGACTTCTGTCCATTGATCGAAATGAATAGTGACTGCCCTATGTGACAAATCGACAGGAGGTGGTGACCCATTGGAGTGGTAACATGCATGTCGTGACAGCTGATGATCCTGGGTCCTGAGACATCTGAAACTAGGATAAAACAGCCGTCAAGTGTTCATTGGTTTTATTTCATTAATTCTACAAGCGATGTCCGTCTGTGATGAAAGGTGCTTCGAAATCAGTCAATCTATTCTCTGTGAACCACTAAGTGAGGAATAAAATATTCAAAGAACTAATACTCAGAAAAAAGAAGAAATGAATGTATTTGACTTAACAGCATCTTTTGATGTACAACAAGTTGACAGAAGAGGCGGTGCAGCGAAGACAGAACTTCCTTCAGGTAAACTTAGAGAAGATGGAGGTGATAAAGATACCCAACCAACAACAGCACCAACAACAAACACCAATCACCATCAATGGGAGAAACCTAAAGAAAGTAGTCTCTTTCACCTACCTACCTAGGTAGCATCGTCCCAGCTACAGGTGGAGGCATGGACGAGGATGTCAAAGCCAGAATTTGAAAGACAGTAAGACCGGCCTTCCTGCATTAATCTGAAGTCAGTATGGAGATCTACTGCACTTAGAACAAAGCGTGCACAACATGTGGATTTTCAACACTAACGTCAAGTCAGTGCTTCTACTATGTGATGGTTAAGAGACTTGACGCGTTACGAAAAGCATTTCCAACAAACTACAGACATGTGTTGTCAACAGCCGCCACCTAGGCTCACTTGACACTAACACTGATGATCAGATGACCAGAAAGAATGAGCAACAAGGAACTCTGGCTGGCTGGCTGGCTGGCTGGCTGGCTGGCTGGCTGGCTGGCTGGCTGGCTGGCTGGCTGGCTGGCTGGCTGGCTGGCTGGCTGGCTGGCTGGCTGGCTGGCTGGCTGGCTGGCTGGCTGGCTGGCTGGCAACGAACCGACGAAGCAAGAACCGATCACCCAACAAATATGCAGAAGAAAGTGGAGATGGATTGGACTGGGCATACACTGAGAAGGCTGATTGGGGACATCATGCATCAGGCCAGCGAGGCCCACGAGTGGAACCCGAAGAGGAAACGATGAGTTGGGTATGCGAGGCGAGGGTGACATGGAGGAGATTGTGTGAGGGAGGAATGAAGCCTGTTGGCAGTGGTGGAGCGAGGTTGAAAAGACTGCAGAGACGAGAGTGCAATGGAGGCGTGCTACTAAAGCGGTGTGTTCCACTAGGAACCTAAGAGAAAAATAATGGTAATAATTTGTATATAACTTATAAATAAATAAATACTTCAGTGAACAGTTTTGTTGCTGGCGATATCCTCCTTAGTAAATGTACAATCGCATTTAAATGTACAATTTTAGAAGTCACGATTTGGTTTGTTGAAGGCTAATTATTAGTAGGTTTTAGTCAAAATGATGACTGGGGAAATAAAAGTTGCATGAGAAACATGGAAATTTTTGGAAACAAGAGAAAGGAAGTTTAACTCGAGAACAGTAGAATTGGTAACAACATGAGTAAGCTGTCCCCATTGTGGAAGGAAATGAAAAATAAGCTAATAATTTTTACGGAATAACAAAATGAAAATGGCGACTTGGGCTTAAGAATTAGGAAGTTTAAAAATTCCCAGAGTTGTTTCTGAATACCCAATTCCAGTTTTGATGCTCTTTTTGTCGGACACTCAGCGATCCAAAGTTAACATTTCTTGGAACCTTTCAGAAGTTTATTTTGTAGACTGCTGCAAACGAACCTTCTGGAATGGTGTGCCCACTGTTAACTGTGTTGTAATACTGAGGGAGCTGTTGACTGATCTGCTATGGTTTTTACTAATTCATACTAGAAGATGTTGGCGTCGACGTCGGACAGTCTGCCTCTGAATACGTGTGTGCGTGTATGTGCTTAGCTCTACAGAAGCAGGTAAATTGATATGTGCACACTGAAGTGGCTAGTAATGACAGTTTATCCTTCGTGCGTGTGTTCGTCACTGAGCGACTAGTATGGGGAATTTGTAGAGAGGTTGCGTAGAATGTCCCCTCAACACCCTTCATTAGTTTGTGTTCAAGTACGTAATCTGCTGCATCTTCATTGAATCCCAAGTTGAAATAAGTTTTTCCTTCTTCACATTGATAGGAGATTAATGGGCAACATCCCTATGTAGATTTTTATTTATGAATCTTCCTAGATATCCATTTCTGATGAAAGTCAGTCTTAGAAGTTGAATTTATTCTTCTAAAATTTCGCAGTTACATATCCTCTGGAAGTAAAAGAAAAGGGAATGAATTAAATTTCTTTTCTGGTTAGTTAAAATCCATCTATGGAAGTTTACCATTTATCCACTTCACATAAATTTTTGAAAGTGCGTTTTGCAAGTGCTTCATCATATCTTCTTGTTTATAATACGTCGAGGAGTGGTATTTTTGTGTAGGCTTCCTTATCCACTGTCAAGTTGACTGACGAGTGACATTCATTGAAAAATTGTAGTACTTCCTATGGATCTGAATTCTTGTCACAACAATTATTTTGTGGGGTTTAAACTGCTTGATAACTGTGTTCAGTATGATTGTTTCTACTTTGGATGCAAAGATATTTTCTAAGAGTGAACTTATTGGATACCTCTTTTCTATCCCATCCTTCTGGAGGTAGGTGTAAATGAAGCTTAAATGTATATTAAAGATGCATCTCAATACTAGTTCTTTCCGGCGGCCTGTAGACAGGTATCCGGTGTTCATTGCATTCGAGTCAATGTTGTCATTCAGTGGAACATTGATGAGCAGTAAAGGAACATCAAATTATAATACGCTATCACCCAAAACATTCACATTACATATAAAGTCAGAAAACTTAAATACTTCATTCATACAGCTCAAGACTGATGACAGATTCATTTTTAATTCTCTTGAGAATTAAAAATCAAGTGAAATTTAGTTGTTTCTGTTCCATTCTTGTCGGTTCTCGGTTTGAATAACGTGCTTTAATCTGAATATAGGGCTAGCAGTTTTCTCAATTTGTTCATTAGGACTATGCCAGCATCTTTATTATAACAGGTTATACTGATTTCGTCACTAAGTTTCAAATTAATTAACTCGTTGATATGACCTTTAGTAAGATGATTAAATTTCTTGGTTGGGTGTTCAGGGATTGATAATCACGCGAAAGTAAGAAAGATTTGAACTGTTTTTGACGTTCTACAGATGAAGCGTTTATAAAGCCAGTTACCTTCCAGACCTGGCTGTTGATTTATTAAATAAACCTTCACCCTTTGACAGGTTTTAGGACTCAGACATACTTGCCGGCTCCCAACACTAGCTCTACTTCTTGAACTGAAGGTGGTATTTGACTCCATCATTTGAGAGGTTAAAAGGCCTGTCGCGTAAGCACATACGCCAACCAATACAACGGTCTATATTCAATTTTAGTTAACTTAGTCACAGTTTTGCTTGTAGAGATCCTCCTCTTCCCTTCTCACCTTACCGAGATTCTCACAAAAGACTTAGTAGACCTACAGTACATAGATGACATAGTCGTGTTAAGGTGATGCTGACAAGACACAAGGCCATCCGGAAAAATTCAGTGGCACTTTGAGAATGAAATGGTGTGGCTCAGGTGGAAGATCTCGGCTGTATTGTGTTCCCTGA